CTCTCTCTCTCTCTCTCTCTCTCTCTCTCTCTCTCTCTCTCTCTCTCTCTCTCTCTCTCTCTCTCTCTCTCTCTCTCTCTCTGCTCCTGATGCGGGCATTCCCCTCACATCAACACTCACGATACCGGCAGTCCGTCTCCGCGTATCAACGCAGAGTTGTCACTCCACTTGCAGGTCAGGTTCGCCCATGTGCCATAGTCCGTCGCGGCCCCGCACGTCAACCCCGCATACCTAACACCAGCTCGTCGGATTGCCCAACTCTCGCACTTACGCACCTTTCAAACTTGCTCGTTAGTCGACTCTCACTGATCGCCCTAACCTCCCTGTTCATCGTCCGGACGAGCATCACCCCACGCGACCCGCCGGCAAGGAAGTTCACGATGGGTCTAGCATCGCGTGACTTCCTTTCGTCTGACATAATGGTGGCCCCCGTGACATAGAAAGGAGCCCTGACCTCCGCAAGATCAGCTCCCACATCGTCCACCGTGTGGACAATGGTCTCTATGTCCGCGATCTCATTCTCTGAAGGCCACAACACCTTCACTGGCCCCGACAAGTCCTTGAAGTGTTGGACGACGTCCAACCGTGGCTCGCTACGGAAGACGTTGAATGCCAGGCGTTGACTGTACACAAACCACAACCACTTCTTCTTGAACTCCATCTGCCACTTTGAAGAGAATGACTCCGTGATCATGTTCTGTCTCATCCTCTTCTGTGCTGTCGTCGGTCTGTCCCCCTCCTCTCTCTCCTTCCTCTTCCCCGCAGACGCACCCGCCTCAACCGTATCCGCACCTACCCGTGTACGAGCCGACACGTGCGCCGACGCAAAGTACTGGCCCTGCTGCCCCCCCGGCTCGCTGACAACGCCCTTCCCTCGCTCACTCACTGACGGTCCCGCCCGTGCAACCTCCTCGACGTCGTCGTCCACGTCGATCTGCTCCCCTGTGTCCCTCATCTCTCCTTCCCCCCCTCGTCCCGTCGCGGATCCATCGCAGGCGCCGCACCGTGAAGCTCCTCAAATCGTTGTATCCGCTCTAGGAACTTGTCGGGCATCTTGTACTCACTGTTATAGTGGACGCACTTCAACATGCGATTGCCGCGGAATCTCTCGCCGAGACTCTGTCCCACGCGGATGTACTTGTACACGGAGCACTTCTTTTGCGCCTTCCGATTCTTGTCCTCCCCCCCATCCTCAAACACCCGAGATTGACTTCGCGGCATCGTGCCCGCTCGCCAATGGGTTCACCGAAGCGGTCCGCCCCTAGCCTGTCCCACTCACGCCGGCGTCCGTCCCCCCACCAGGCCTCGTCGAGCCC